AAATATGGCAGAAAACCCTTTTTAACCCCGATTATTATCTAATCAAGCGAAGGATAATGGGGGAAAATATCTCTCTTATAAGAAAATTCAGCTGCAGAAAATTACAAGGATGTGTTGGGCAATACTCAAATGGCTTATCAGAGGAGAGAAATAATAGAGAGCCAAGCTAAAATGGAATTGGAGCTCACGAAAAGAAAAAGCATTTTGCTTGAGATCAAAATCTACCTTGGCTTCTGTAAATTTAGAAATCCCTTAAAAAGAATTCCAATTCCCTAATTTATAAAGAATTGAACCTTTTAGGGCAAAGAAAAACAGAGACAAGTGAGCAATTATGGGTCACTGGAGATAATATCTGCAAATACAATATATGTGTGCCTGTATATGTGTATATGTATATCATAATGTAATATCTATTCTTCCATTTCTGACACATACTCACTGTGAACTCTGGACGTGTCTGTTAATCTCTCAGTACCCCAAGTAACTCTCTAAGATCATAGGTCATAAAGGAGGTACTGACCTGCATTGGGCCAAGAAGTTCCTCCTCAGAGAGTCCTACAGAAATGAAATGTCTGGTCTGAATATATGTACATATATTTCACACACACACATATGATATTGGCATGTACATGTACCTTCTGGAGAGGAGCTTTCCAGTATCATCTAACGTGTTGAGAGTTCATTTGAATAGTCCTTTCTAAACCAACCAAAGTTGCTTAAACCACTTTTTTCTCCTCCAGATTCTCCTAGACTTGAATTAAGTAGTCCAAAACACTGCTGAGAGAAAATTGTTCTGTAAACTGTGCAGGGTTATGGAAATGGGAGCTATCATGATTTCTGACCTCTGAATACAGAATCAGAAAATCTTAGAGTTGGAGCTCAGAGGTCACCTAATCTGACTTGATACTATGCAATCCAGAGGTGCCTGGTAAATGTTTGACAATCAGCTCCTCAAAGAACAAAAACAAAACATGTATACATGACAGACTTTTAAGTTCAACCTATGTTAAAAGCATTTTTCCAAACTTTCTTAAATCTAGACAAATGAAGAAAACAATAAATCAAGCCCTGACTTGTAGAATTTTGCTCATTCCCAAGGTGTAGTTCATGCTGAAAATTAATAATAATAATAGCTAGCACTTACATAGTACCTATTATATTCCAGGCACTATGCTAAGTACTTTACAAATATCTCCTTTGATCCTCATAACAACCCTGCAAGGTAGGTGCTATTATTGTCATGCCCATTTTACAGTTGAGGAAACTGAGGCAAACAGAGGTTAAGTGACTTGCCCAAGGTCACACAGTTAGTAAGAGTCTGAGGCCAAATTTGAACTCAAGTCTTTCTCACTCCAGGTCCAGTGCTCTGTGCACTAGGAACTGAAAGTTCACTGATATACTCAACAAATTTTGGCCATCTGGTGATTATTTAAAGACCTTTAGTTAAGGGAGAACTTGTTAGGTAAGTAGTTGCTAAGGTGGATTGTAGATTTAATTGTTAGGAAGCATTTCTTTCCATCCAACTGCAATCTCCATCTCAGCAGCTTGTATCGATTGTTCCTAGATGGGCACATGAGGAACCAAAGAGGATTGAAGACAGTTAACATACTGCATATACGTCTCCATTGCCCTATCCCCATAGACTCCTACCTTTTTTTCTTTTTCAAGCTAAACATCCCTGAAAGGCAACAATGGCATAGAAATAGCGTGTTGGAGTCAGAGTTTGGAAAACCTGGATTCAAATCCTGCCTTTGACACTTACTATGTAACCATGACAAGACAGTTAACTGCTTGCCCAAGTAAAATGGGGATGGGGGAGAGTGGAGAGTGATTCAATGATCTCTAAGGTCCCTTTTAAATCAATTAACTTACGAACCTGATTCCTTCTATGACAGATTTTAAGATGCCCTACCATCTTTCTTTCCTTCCTTTTTTTTTTGTGAGCAATCGGGGTTAAGTGACTTGCCCAGGGTCACACAGCTAGTGTAAAACGTCTGAGGCCAGATTTGAACTCAGATCCTACTTGACTCCAAGGCTGGAGCTCTATGCACTGAGCCACCTAGCTGCCCCTCTCCTTCCTCTGGACACATTATGGGCACCCAATTTTAATATGTGATTTGAAGGAGTAATTCTGAATACAAATGAAAATACTTCATTATCCTTTTCCCACTTGGGCTTCTACCCATATTCAGTGTGTATTTATTGTTGGCAGAAACTTGAGTTCTTTTAGCCTTAGTAGATGAAAAACATAGAAGCAGATGGAGACAGCTCTGTGCAGAAACAGTTGGTACTGGCAGATCCCTCTGATGACAGAGTAGGCTGGCCAGCCTGGGCTGCTAGCAAATCATTTGGAAAGCAGTGTGAAGCTCCTGAAACAAAGACATCCACATGATCGGAGGGCATGCATGTGGCAGTCCTTGAACCCCTTCACAACAAGGTAGGCAGAATCTGTGTTAGAAATGGATGTCATACCAGCCAGAGATGGGGGAGGGTTCTCTGCAGTGTGCTTTTATGGCATAAATGTTGAAACCCTGTCCACAATTCAAATTTTCCTTCCAGAAGAGGAAAGAACAGCATATTGCAACATTCACAGGAAACTGCCATGTTGTACAATCCAGGGGAAAATGTTCTTGAGGGGAGGCTGAATTTTCATGAGCATATTTCAGACAGAGGCATTATGGGAATACACATAATGGGTATAAAAGGAGCTTTCTTGGGAACTATATAACCTAGGCTAATGCATTTTGTTATCCTTATTTGCCCTGAAGTAAAGAAATTCTGAAAGATGGTAATTCTATTAAATTCCAGAATTATTAATTATTCAGGTAATAGTGACATACACTGACAGTCTGAGAGACAGCCTGCTATAGAGGACAGAGAAAGTCAGAAAGACCTGGGTTCAAGTCCTGCCTTGGATGCTTATTATCTACGTGAACTTGGGCCAGTTATTTTCCTTTTCTGGGCTCCCGATTCCTTGTCTGTAAAATGGGCGTGTTCGTCTCCATGACTAGGTTCTCTACCTCTGGCTCAGAAGCATGTGGCAGGAGAGAGCTGATGAGCTAAACCTCCTTAGCTGTCTCTATGGTGACCAAATAGAGAAGGGGCAGCATCCCTTCTGGGTGCTATCCCCACACACTGGGAAAGCTGAGTAAGCCCTGCAAAGATGTTGTATTCTGCAGAGCACCCAGGCAAGAAAATAACACCAAACTCCCTTTGTTAATTAAAAAACAACAACCCACAAAAACCTGCTTGTCTTCACCAGGAAATAGTAGGTGACATAGAGATTGCTAATTAGAAGCAGCCACTTTGTTGATGGAGTTTGTACATAAGTTCATAAAGGATTACAGGTCTACGGCTAGAAGGGGCTTCAGAGCCTTTCTAGTCCATCCCCTACAGTTGACGAAACCGAGGCCAAGGTATGCTAAGTGACTTGCCCAAGGTCATACAGATAGTAAGCGTCAGAGATGGGATTTGAACCCAAGGATTTGATTACAGAGTAAGTGTTTTTTACGCTGTACCCCAACTGCCTGCATGACAAGTGGCCATGTATGTCTTTGTTTTATTTTATTTTTCATTATATTTCTTATGTGATTATTGCCTATTTGCACATGTGTCCTGTATTTTCTGCTAGAGTCTAAGCCCTTTGAGGACAGGGACCATTTGTGTGATATCTTTGTATCTCCCCCAGTGCTGAACATAGGGCATTATATATGGTAGGTACTTGGGTACAGGCAGTAGGTGTTAATGAATGAACGAGTAGCTTATTAACTCATTCTTGCATAAGAAACAGTCTCTGAGAGGACCAATCACTTGATGGAAATGCAGTTTGCTTATTTTATTTACTGAAAAAATAGATAAGAAGGCTGCATCTTGTACTAGTAGGTAGGTGAGTTTGGATATGCTACATACATGATGATCTGTGCTCTCAGCCTGCAAAACCCATGCCCTAAGGATACTTTGTAATAACTATCCTTATATCATATTTGATGTCGGCTCTCTTGAATCAGTAATTCCAGGGAACTGGAAAGGAAGCAGCAGACACTTCAGGACTTTTTTTCCCCTTTTATTTCAGGGAGCCAATACAATATAGGAAATGACAGATTTAAGAAATGTGCTTCCTTCAGTTTGGATTTTCACATTATTTCTGACAGCATAGTTTATTGAATAGAATGCTTGTCTTGGAAGCTGTAAGACTTGAGTTCTAATCCTGTGTCATACACTTACTAGTTGTGTGCCCTAGAGCAAATCACTTGACTTTTCTTAGACTCAGTTTCCTCATTTGTAAAATGAGGATAATAATAGTTCCTACCTCACAAGGCTGTTGTAAAGACCAAAATGAATAATAGATAAATATATGTAATAATATATATATATAATATGTAATAAATATATATTGTGTTATATATGTGTAAAATATGAAATATATTATTATCACCAGGGTTTAGAGGACTTTATATAAATAACTATAGAAAGGGAAAATCTTTGTTCTTAAACTACTTAACAATGGAAAAGGACAAATCTTTGTGAATTTAGGCAAGTCCTTTTACGGACTTCAGTCTCCTTATTCATAAAAAGAAGCAATTAGATGAGATGGGTATCAGTAAGGGTCACTCAAGCTTAGGATCCAATCCTTCTATAGGATCCCTGAGCTAATTCAGAAGCAAATATAGAATTTTCCCTGTATGAAAAAATGAGTTTATCGTAAATCATTTAAGTTATTATGTTGCAAATACGATTTTAAGCTAAACACGAAAAAGTTGAATTTAGTAGTTAAATTAAGCCAATGAAGTCCAGTGAGGAAGAAAACAAGATCCAAAAAGTAAGACTCTCCCATGGAAAATGAGATAAACAATAACAAGGAAGTAGCTTGTGACATCCTGGGTCAAGTCCCCCCAGGAGGGTATATAAGGGCTGCCCTGCAAAAGAAGAGTAGCAGACTTCACTCACCTCTTCTGAGTCTTTTCTCTCCTCACTTCACCTTAACCCTCTGTACTGATACTATGGGTTGCTGTGGCTGTGGTGGTTGTGGCGGTGGCTGCGGTAGCTGTGGCGGCTGTGGCGGCTGTGGCGGCTGTGGTGGCTGCGGTGGTGGCTGTGGCAGCTGTACCACCTGTACCTGCCGCCGTGTAGGCTGCTGCTCTGCCTGCTGCCCCTGCTGCTGTGGCTGCTGTGGGGGCTGCTGTAGCCCCACCGTTGTCTGCTGCCGTCGCACCTGCTGCTATGGCTCCTGTGGGTCCTGTGGCTGTGGCAAGGGCTGCTGCCAACAGAAATGCTGTTGCCAACAGAAACGCTGCTGTAAGAGACAATGCTGCTGCTAAAAGGGAGTGATCAGAGCTGGTCCTCGAAGGAAGGACCTGCTAGGGGCACATGTGCAGCATGAAGGTAAGACTTTCCTCCCTTGCAGCAAAGCTGCTCCTTCCTTCCTTGTAAGTCATCTCTGTGTCCTAGAGCTTTGGGCTCTGTCTCAGATTCTGGTGTCTATAATCCTACCTTAGGTATATGATACTATCAAAAATTGTTCCATTTGAAAAAAATCTAAACTGACACCATTTGAAACAGGAAAATGGGCACTGGCCCAGTTACTGAATAATGGCCAAACTTTATCTAGGAACTCAGCCCCCACATCAAATCGTGAGTTCTCATGGTTTGTTCCTTGGTTGTGTTTACTCACTCTCCTATAATCCCTGTGCTTTGTTTTTCTGTCTACTGTCTGTGTACATTGTTTCCTACTTTCTTCTCGCTTTTCTGAGCTGCTAATTGCTGTACCACTATTTTCTAAAAGTCTCAATAAAATAAATAAAAAATATTCTGAAAAGAGTTTCTGCTTTTATTCATTTGTCCACCAAATATGTGTCCTGAGAGTTTTCAGTCTCTTTGAAGGAAGACTTGTGTAGACTTAGAATGGTAGCAAACTGAGTCAAAAATCACGCTTATTTCTGGGACAGCTTTTATTCCACTTTTAGGCTAGGGTGACTAGCTTTTAGCAATTGATTATAGGAAAATCAAGTTCTATGTTTAATACAGAAGAGGCAGCTTTGCGTAGTTAATAGAGAGGTAGTTTTGAAGCTGGGAAGACCTGGGTTCAAGTCCCATCTCTGACACATACTGGCAGTGTGATCCTTAGCAAATCTTCTAACTTCTTTTAGTTGTGGGAAACTCTCTATGACTATAAATTGAAGAGAAGGTTCTTACCTAGATTGTTGGAGGGAGTTTCCTTACTTGGGTATCATTTGTACCAATGAAATCACAGGTCTAGTCCCTATTCCTGTTTAGTGCAAAATAAGTCCCTTAACCCTGTTTGCCTCAGTTTCCTCATCTGTAAAATGAGCTGGAGAAGGAAATGGCAAATCACTCCAGTATCTCTGCCAAGAAAACCCCAAATGGGGTCACAATGAGTTGGATACGACTGAAAACAGCTGAACAATAACAACAAAGGCATTTTCTTTACAACTGAATTTATTTCGGAGTCCTTTAGATGACATACTTCCCTAGGGCATTTTAAACATTTAAAAACTACTATTTAGTCCAATAAATATTCACTAAGTACCTTCTACATTCTAGGTACAATACTAGAGAAAAGAATGAAAATAGTTCCTGACCTCAAGGAGTATACATACTACCGAGAGGAAAAGGAGTAGTAGAGAGAGAGAAAAAAATAGAACACACACATGGATAATATAAAATAGATTTAAATGAATGAAATTGCAACCCATCCACAGCTGCCCTTGTCCATGTTCTCCCCCAAATTCTGTGGGCCAGCCCACCCAATATGCTTGAGACTATACTTAATATCCCCCTGCATTGGGAGGGCACCAGCGAAGAACTCAAACTTTCTACCTGTCATCCCTTGCTCTTGTTATGTGACCAGCCCACCTTCTTTTCCTGTCATATAATCCCTTGATATCTTTCACTCTTTTTCTTCTTCCAAGTTCCTTCTTGGTTATGTGTTGTGGGTCTTTTTTTTTTTTTATTTCTAATCTTGGGCTAAATAGTCATTTTTCTTAAAAGGTGTCATTTATTTACCCTTCTCAACATCATGGGAATCCTGAACTTCCTTTCCCCTCTCTCCTCGCCTTGTCTGAGTCAGGATAAGCTCAGCGTGTTCTGCATGTTGAAAAGTTTCAGAATCACTTCTAGAATGTATTGCAAAAGTCCTTTTGGCTCAACACAAGGAGACTCAGAGCCAAAGTAGTTCTTCACCATTTTGACAGAAGAAATAAACAGTCAGAAGGTCAACATTTTTTCTACTTCCTATTTCTTTTGGCAGAGATAAGCTTGGAAGACAGATGCAGAAGGGAGGAGAAAGTGGTAGGACTTGAAGACTATAAATTCCCCATTAACCAAGCTGGAGTAGAATTTGGGAAAGGCAGCATGAGACAGTGGATGGAAGCTTAGCTGTGGAGACAGGAAGTTCTGGGTTGGTGTCTTACCTCTGAAACACTATGGCCATGTGACCATGAACAAGTCCTTTTAACTTCTCAGGGCTCCCAAGGACTGAGTCTCTGAGACTAAATTATAGGTATGATGGAGGACAACACATGCAGACTTGATGGACTTTTCATTACATTAGCTGTGTGGCTTTGGGTAAGTCATCCTAGCTCTGTGGGTCTAAAATGTTCCTCATCTATAAAATAGGGGTGCTGTAGTAGATAATCTTTTTGGTCCCTAAATTTTTCTTATTCTATCTACTCTCAATACTCAAACAGATCTCACTGATTCAGGAATTCCTTCCTATGATGCATATAGCAACCTATCTATGCCTGCTCTTCCTGTGTGACTCTTGTCCATATTCTTCCAAAAGTTCACTTTAGGAGGTCCACCTAATAATGGTTAGCATTTATACAGTGCTTTAAGGTGTGTGAAGTACTTTCTATACATACATGCATATATACATGTATATACACATATCTATACATATATACATATATGTATATATATATACAAGCATATATGTGTGTATGTGTAGATGTGTGTGTATATCTATGTCTATATATGTATGTATGTGTAGCTCTATTTCTCTCTCTCTCTATACCTATATATATATGTTTATATACACACATATAAATTTGATCCTCCTAACCACCCTGGGAGATAGATGCTATGATGAGCCCCATTTTACAGATGAGGAAACTAAGGCTCAGAGAGGGTTGTGTCTTACCCAGGGTCACATGGTCACAGAGCTAATAAATGTCTAAGGCCGGATTTGAAGTTACATCTTTTTGACTCCAGGTTTAGTGCTCCATCTGCTGCTCTACTCAGCTGCCTCAGTGGGCTGGAAGTGGTCTTCCTTTTCTCTCAATATCAAGAGATAAGAGAGGACTGTGCAGCAGTGGAACACTCTCTCTGTTCACCTGTCATGTGTAAGGAGTTCCTACACCAATGAGTTTCTGGATCTGAAACAAAAAGGGGGAATGGGAGGGAGGGAGAGAGAGAGAGACAGACAGAGAGACAGAGACAGACAGAGACAGAGACAGAGAGAAACAGAGATAGAGTGACAGAGACAAGAGATAGACAAAGAAAGATAAAGAAAGGAAACAGAGACAGATAGACAGAGAGAAAAAGAGAGAGAGAAACAAGAGAGAGAGAGAGAGAGAGGGAGAGAGAGAGAGAGAGATTTACCTTTCACTTTTAAAACTATTTATTTAGAGCAGGAAAAAGCACCCAGTGTAGATGCAGCTGATTGGAAGAAGTTATTTCTCTTGAGACTTCTTGGTCATGGGAAGATTAGGGGTGATAGGGTTTGGAGCTTCACCTGACAGAGATGTGGGAACTATTAAGCTATTTGTCTTTACACATATGAAAAAGGTGATGTCATCACATGACAGACACATGAATTGGAATAGGCCACACATAGGACAGGCAGGTGTTTATCACAATTTTGTATTTTAAGTATGTGACAAAATGGAGGTACTTACACTATGTGGCCCTAATGGCCAAAGTAAACAAATGGGCCTTAGGTTGTTTTCTACCCCCTTTCTATGTGACTCACCCAAGGGAGCTGGTGGCTCTTGTTAAGCCTCATAGGCAATTGAACTAATCCTAGGGTGGTTTGGATAAGACCACTGTCCTGCTCCTTCTTTATCTTATAAGAATCCTCCTCCTGGACCCCATGTCAAGAGCCATCTCCTGCATCCTGAGGCCTTGTACCTTGCGCCCTCTCTTCATATGAGTGGTCCTATTTGGCCAAGATTCTGTCTATGCACCCCTTCCTTTCCTTCCCCCTCACTAAAACCCCTTGGCTTCTGTAGTGTTCTTCATGCTATGGGCTGTGTGGTAATAAATTGAGTTGCACCTGAGTCCTAAGTACAAATTCTTACTAAATCCTTGAACCCCAAGCAAACTGCCTCTTGAGAGTGAGGCATGGAACCCTGGTGCTGTGTCCTAGCCTTGGAAGCCCTCTGACTTTTTGTTACTGCACACAATTTAGATTTGGGGTCATGACCTGAGAGGAAGGAATTCCACTGTCCCCTCACGTGTCTCACTAGGGCATCTCCATTCTGTCCATAGCTGTCAATCATGACTAGTGGTTGTTATTGTTGAGTTGCTTTTGAGTCATGTGAGATGGCAGTGTGAGGGTGGTATATGGTTTGCTATACTGCTGTAAACCTCTCTGGCTATGTCTCCCATAGCCTATATATACTTTTACAGTTGATTTCTTATCCCCAAAAGACTTTCATTGACTTTTGTTGTTGTTCAGTTATTTTCAATGGCGTCTGACTCTTCACCACCCCATTTGGGGTTTTCTTGGGAAAGATACTGGAGTGGTCTGCCATTTTCTTCTCCAACTCATTTTACAGATGAGGAAATTGAGGCAAACAGGCTTAAGTGAATTGCTCCAGGGTCACATGGCTCGTAAATGTCTGAGACCACATTTGAATTCAAGAAGATGAGTCTTCCTGACTTCAGACCAGGTTGTCTCTCCACTGTGCCACCTAGTTATTAAAATAGTATAAAGACAGAATAATTTAATGTATAGTACACTGGATCAGGATCAAGAGACTTAGGTTCCACACTAGGCTGTCCTACTAAAACAACACCAGTGATAAGATCACACAGCTGATTATAATAGCATGCAATTTGCATAGCATGTAATGGTTTACAAAGTGCTTTACACATACTACCTTGTTTGATCCTCAGATAATTCACTGAAGTAGGTAGTAAAACTATTATTATTATTTCCATTTTGAGATGAGAATATTGAGATTAAGAGAAATGAAGGGAATTGCCCCATATCATGTAGTTGATATGTTTCTGAGCTTTGACTTGGATGTAATGTCAGGAAAAAGGGAGGAAGATCTCTAACATACTGGGTGGATCCCCTGAAATGAACTTTTGGGAAAACCTGGACAAGAGTCACACAAGATGTATAGGCATGGATGAGTTTCGATCTGCATCACTGATGGAAATTTCTAAATCTACTGACTCCAACTCAGTATTTTACTACATAAGCTTTGGGTAAGCTTTCTGGACTTCAGGATTCCCCATATGTAAAATGGGCATGTTGTGTTAGATGATCTTTAAAGTCCAAGTTTTGTGATTCTTCTAGGTAGTTGGGTGGTATAGTGGATAGGATGCTAAGCCTGGAATTGTGAAGACCTAAATTCAAATTTGGCCTCAGACACTTAGTAGTTGTGTGACCCTGGGCAAAAGTCACTTAACCTCTATCTTCCTCAGTATATTCAACTGTAAAATGGGGATAATAATGATGAGCAGGATGCTCTCAGAAAAACCTGGAAAGACTTGCATGAGCATCTGATGCAAAGTGAAATGTATTGTGTACAAAGCAATGGCAATATTGTAAGATGATCAGCCATGAATGACTTAGTTATTCTCAGCAATACAATGACTGAAGACAACTCTGAAGGACTTAGGATGAAAAATGCTATCCATCTCCAGAGAAAGAAGTTATGGTGTCTGAATACAGATTGAAGCATACTTTTTTTTACGTTATTTTTCTTGAGTTTTTGTTCTTGTCTATGTTTTCCTTAACAACATGACTATTATGAATATGTTTTGCATGACTACACAGGTATAACCTATATGGAATTGCTTGCTTTCTCAATGGGGGTGAGAGGGGAGGAAGGGAGAGAATTTGGAACTCAAAGTTTTAAAAATGAATGTTAAAAATTGTTTTTACATGTAACTGGGAGTAAATAAAATGCTAAATAATTTTAAAAAAAAGAAAAAAAAAAGGAAATTGGGCAAGGCAGGAAGCTACTTAGAGGATCCTCTAGAAAACTCCCAGAATGGGCAGTCTCCTTTTAGGCCTCTTTTTTCTACTACAGTTCTACTAGGTGGCCTCTTAGATCCTCTCAAGACCTAAATCTATGATGCTAAAACTGGGACATGAACTTCCCATTTCTTAGAGGAACAAAGAAAGAGCATAGGCAATCTTCCTGACCAATGAACCTACGGTCTTATTCTATGTAAATAGTTTCTCCATCTTTTGTACCTAGGGTTGAGCTGGCTCTGGAATGTACTGTTTGGGGCATAGTGGAAAGACCATATATTGAAAATGAGGGAATACATTCTATGGTCCTGACTCTTCAACTCACTAAATATGGGACCTTGAACAAGTCACAGATGATCACAAAGTCTCTTTCAAGTTGTAAAAGAAAATCAATCACTTCATAATTCTATGAATTAGGTAGGGACTCAGAGCTTGGGTCTGTACTTGTTGAAGGGAGGCAAGTGGCAGCACATGAACTAAGTCTTAGAGAAAGAGAAGGATTTGAACACTTGGAACTGTGGAATGAGAAGGGATGGTCTACATTAATCACACATAGACATAGGAGGGCACCATGAGATTAGGGAAGAAGTGGTGGAAGATTTTGCTTGTTAAATAGAGTGCACGGAATGGGAGGAATAGCACATAAAGCAGTCAGGAATGCAGATTTGTTTCCTCCAGATTGGGGAGGACCTTAAATGGAAGAGATTTCTTGGAGATTCTCTAGATGCTGCTGTTTATCGATAGCATTGTGCTTATTACATCAAACCCCAGAATACCACCAAGTCCTTTTCAGCACAATCCAAGGCCATTAAAAAAAAATTGGTCTACTAATATGCATGAGAAAAAAAACCCTACAACCCATAGAACATCATGATCTCTGAAGAAGCCAAGTTGTAGGTGACCTAGGGGCAATGGAGGGATCCTTTGGTGGAGGGGCGAAACTTCAAGAAATGCCATCAAATGGATATTGGAGGAAACATGTGGAGGAAAAGGAAGTGGACTGGCCAAAGAGTTAGAATGAAGGATGGCAGAGAAGGACAAAGCAAGGACTGCTCTTGTTCTCATAAAATGTTAAAAAGACCTAGAAGACTTAAAGATTGTTAGCACATTGAAGATATCTGTGAAGGATTTGTGGGAGAAAGTGGACAAGAATCACAAAGGATAAGGGATAGGTGTTTTGTGGTCTGATAATGGTGAGAGTAAACACACTGAGGAGACTGTGGACAAGTTTAAATATCAAAGTCGAAAACTGAAAGACTCTAGGCTATCCCAAGAATGGCATTCTTACATTTTGCTGGAAAGTGCCAAATCAAGTCAATTATATCCATAGAATTCTGTTTTACTAATTCTTAGTCTAATTTCTTTTTCTCTTTTGGTCCGGACCTGTGATGGCTTCAATGTTGGGAACTTCCATTGTGAAATCCCTAATACCAATGCAAATCATCAATTTACCTGCAACTTGTGGTCCTGGTGTTTTAAGTTAAGCGACTTCCCATGACCACACAACTGACATGCATCAGAAACAGGACTTCAACCTGGGTCTTGCCCATTCCACGGTGAATCTGCTGTCCACTGTGCCATACTGCCTCTCACCAATTTAGGTCTGTCAGAAACCAACTGAAGTTAACCCGCTATGACCTGCTAGTGATAAACTTGTACTGGCTCTTTGCTATTACTTCTTTTTTTTTTTTTTATTTCATTCATCACCTGTCTTGCCTGCTTCTCTGTGTTTTTATTCCTCCCTATGGCTAAATAAGAATGAAGTGTTTTTCTTCTTCTACCATGCAAAATGGATCTAAAATCCTGATATCAAAAAACAAGAATGATAATTTAAATTAGCATTTGGCACTATACCAATTAATTTTATAAAAGGGTAAAGGAGTACTGAAGCAAAGTTTGAGAGATGAATCAAGAATAAATTTTGTAGAGTATCTTGGGGTAGTAGCAGAGGGGAGGCTCAGTATTGATGACTCAACTCTGGGGCTTCTAGCACTTGGTTGTTTTTTTGATGTAGTATGGGAGAGCAGGAAATAAATGATCTGAATCAGAATGCCTTTCTGTATTTGTCACTTCCTATTTTTGTTTCCCCGAGGTAAGCTGAGGAGTGAAACTCATTATGGAGGAGACTGTGGAAAATCTTGAAGACACCAAAGATTCACAATGCCAAAAGACAGAATCTGGATCCAATTTACTTTACTTTAGGCACAGAACTGTGAACGGCATCGAGATACCTCATCAGAGCATCCTAACAAGTTTTCTTATGTTGATATTCTTCCTACTAAGTCCATCACTCCTCTGCTCAAAACCTATCAGTGACTCCCTATTGCCAACCAAGAGTTCAAACATATACAACAAGGCCCTGCACAGTTATGCACCACCTTTCCTTTGCACCCTTTTCTTAGGGGAGGCAGGATTGTGTTGTGGAAAGAATGTTGGATTTACAGTGAGAAGGCTCGGGTTCAAATCGTACTGTACCACTAACCATCTGAGTGACCTTGGGAAGATCGCTGTGGGCTTCAGTTGAACATCTGGTTCTTTGGACAAGCATCTTAACTCCTCAATACTGTCATCAAAAAATAGGGGTTGGATTAGATAACCATCAAGTTCTTTATCTCTCTAAATCTACTAGAAGCACTTCTCCTGCATCATTTTGCATTGTAATTCCTGTGGTGCCAATTCTCCTACTACACTGTTAGCTTTTGGGTGACACAGGCCTTATCTTGTCTATATTTGTGTACCCAGAGGGCACCCAATCAACCTATTTGGATTTGAATTGTGGAGAATTCCACAGACTATATTGAAGAGGATTTTGTGGGCAGGAAAGTTTAGGTCAGTGGTTCTCAAAGTGTGGTCTGGGGAGCCCTGGGAGATCCTTGAGACCCTTTCAGGGCATCTGAGAGGTCAAAGCTACTTTCATAATAATACTAAGATGTTTTAATTTATATTATGATAAATATTGAAAGATGTAACTCACATAAACAAAAGTTCTGTGGGATCTTCAATAATTTTTAATAGTGCAAAGGGGTCTTGAGGTCAAAAAAGTCTGAGAACTGCTCATCTGGAGTGTTCTATTTGAACAGGAGAAAGCCAGCAATAATGAACCTTTTTCACAATCCATGCCTTAAATTTTCTTTACCAGGGCCTTTTTCCTATTTTTTTAGGGATATGTGGAAGCTTGAAAGCAGACAAAAGAGTTAAAAAAGAAAACAACCCGCTGTGCGAAAAAAAATGGAATTTGTGATGTGGCTTTAAGTGAGTACCTACATTTTAGACTCTGATGTGGTCTTTGGTGAAAGTAATATTGGGGGATAGCTTTGGAAAGTCTCTTGAGAGGAAGATAGTTTTACATTAGGGAAGAATCCAAGGATTCATTGCAAATGGCACATTGCCATTCTGATCTTTATGCCAAGATGGATGACTTTGCACATGAGTTTGAGACTTTAATTGAAGAGACATCTTTGAAAAAAGTAAGGCTTTTCCATTAAAAATTTTAGTTATTTTTTTTTACATTCTTTGAAAACATTTATAAAACAAATTAGTTTGGGGCAAACTAAAATAAGCAATTTAATGAAGCTGAAAAGTCATGTGAGGAAGTAAACAAGAGGTGTCTCCCATAGAAAATGAAATAAACAACAGTGTCATGGGTCCTGGGCTGTGTCCCTCCAGGAGGGTATATAAGGGCTGTCCTGCAGAAGAAGAACATCAGACTTGACTCACCTCTCACCTCTTCGCCTCATCTGAACTCTCTGTACTGACACTATGGGTTGCTGTGGCTGTGGTGGCTGTGGCGGCTGTGGCAGTTGTGGTGGCTGTGGCGGCTGCGGTGGCTGTGGAGGCTGTGGCGGCTGTGGTGGCTGTACCACCTGCACCTGCTACCGTGTGGGCTGCTGTTCTGCCTGCTGCCCCTGCTGCTGTGGCTGCTGTGGGGGCTGCTGTAGCCCCACGGTTGTCTGCTGCCGTCGCACTTGCTGCCGTGGCTCCTGTGGCTCTTGTGGCTGTGGCAAGGGCTGCTGCCAACAGAAATGCTGCTGCCAGCAGAAATGCTGCTGCAAAAAGCAATGCTGCTGCTAGAGGGGAGTGATTGGAGCCAAATGTCACAAAGGACCTGCTGGGGGCACATGCCCAGCATGAAGGTAAGACTTTCTTCCTTTGTACAAAATCTTCTCCTCTCTGACATGCATGTTACCAGTGATTATATATTTAGACCTTTAAACTGTTTGTATATAATGGATTTTATGATCTTGTTTCATGTGTAAAAGGATATTATTAATCTTTTCATTTAAAAGTCCCATAGACCAATTTTATAAGAATAGTTATAAAATTTTTTTTTTAGAATTGAACAAAATGGTATGATGATTTCTAACATTTTCTTCTTTTGAAATGTATAATCCCTTGTAGCTTCTACTCTGGTATTTCTGTTCTTTTTGTAATTACCCCATGCTTTTTAATAAGTTTTCCCCTACTGCTAACATGCACTAATAGATGCAAGACAACCTGCTTTAGAAATTCCTTAATAAACTAAACTAAACTAAACTGCCATTAAAAATTGTGTCCTTCCTCTTCTTTCAAAGTGTCTACTGTCTTCACTAAAGCAAAGCAAAGCAAAACAAAACAAAACCAAAAACATATTAGATCAATGTTTTGATCAAGAATGCCAACCTACAGGGGGAGCTAGGTGGTGCAGTGGATTGAGCACCGGCCCTGGATTCAGGAGGACCTGAGTTCAAATCTGCCCTCAGACACATACCACTTAATAGCTGTGTGACCCTGGGCAAGTCACTTAACACCATTGCCTAACAAAAAAAAAAAAAAAGAATGCCAACCTACAGAAAAAGTGGGATTGTATAGGGTTGGTTTGAGGAACACCATTTCTTCTGCTAAAGCAATCCAGTTAACATCAATAAGGGAACCACTCCCAATCTACTTGGTTAATTGTACCCAATACCACATAGTAAAAGCAGGCATTTTGGACTCATTTTCACCCTGGCAGCCAGGTATATATATAAGACCAACAATTCAGTAATTGAACTCTATGTTCTATTTATATTGTATACTTCTAGGAGAATATGAACTCCTTGAGGACAGAAACTATCATTTCTCTTTATCACATACCTGTAGAAACTTACGCAAAATAAGTTTGTCGTTGGCAATTGTGAACTAGGTCTTAATACAACAAAAATAAAATATAAGAATGGAGAGTGATGAAAGCAAATGGGCTAATTTAATTCAACTCAATATTAAAGAAACATGTGTAACCCACGTCTCAAAATCCACCTGCATAAGACTCTCCTCATTGGTGGAGATTTATTGATCAATTCTATAGGCTCAAAGTTGGCAAGAATTTGAGAGAAGAGAGATCCTGCTTTGAGAAAAAAAGATACATGGTTCCAGATTCTTTTAAGGCACCAGAAGGGACAGAAAGACTCTGGGAAGAAGCTGTCATGTGGAGGAGTCAGCACTTCAATCCTGTCCCTATCTGCGGATAGAGACTTTGGAGAATTTCCCTTTGGGTAGATTCCAGGACTCTCTCTCTCTTGGTTGAGTGGAGATGACATACTCTCAGCGGGAATGGTCATTCACTATGTGTATTGTCTGGTACGTATTCTCATCTGTATACCTTTTCTTATTTCTGTTTGCTGTTGACTTGGAGAAGTGGGCTTATTTGCTATTTGCTACATATATTCTTTGTAGAACTCCATTTGATGAGAAGGGAGTCAAGACTTGAATATATAGGTTGGGGCATCCCTTTCCCATTAAGGGACAGTGGTTAAAGACCTTAGCTTGAACTTAAAAGTTATTTCTCCTAGTCTAACAATTAGGGGTAGATACATATAATTTTAGACTAATACCTCTTTCTTGAGCTCTCTGAAGAGAGCAGTGACCAGCCTCTGGTCCCAACCTCTTGTTCCCTTCCTGGAAGGAATCAAAGTATCCTGTGAAGGATGAGGGGAGGAGAATCTTGAGATTCATGCCATTCTGTAAGCCACATCTAGACATACCTATGTGGACACTCATAAGCTATGTGGCCAACAGTGACCCTCTCCCTCCCAACCCCACTCATGCACGTATATTGAGTACTTACCACATATGAGGTATTTTGCTAGGTAACAGGTAGACAAAACATGAAAAATGTCAGTCTCTGTCCCCAAGTTTATAGGCTACCAGGGTTAAGACTATACTGGAGCCAGCTCACACTGATCTCTGAGCAGCTTGTTAAATTTTAGTGTGACCATTTATACCTTGGAAATTGGCACATGCTCTTGACTTATTTTGTTAACTGTCTGGACTTCAGAAAGGGATGAAGAAAATGCTAGAAATGTAGACTAAATGTACAAGTGAATCATGCTCATGTCTGTTCCTCTCCATCCCAGAGAGTTGGTTGTTAAACATTTATTAACATTTCTCTGACTAGGGATATATAATATGTATGATACAAGGTAGAGTGTGACAAGTCCCCCCCAAGAGAGCCAGACAAAATGCTCTAGGAAAATCTTGTGAGGGATAGAGCACTTTTAGCTGGGATGGGTGTGAGAGTGGAGGTGAATGGAGGAAGTAGTAAATGCTCCATGGAGAAGACAGTATCTGAACTAGACCTGGAAGGATGAGAAAGATTAAGGAAGGAATACATTCCAAGACTAAGATATGAGCTATGCAAATACACAGAGGCAGACGAGGGTGAAATGAGATGGGAAATAGGAGCTTTCATTAAAGAGTGCTTCTTTTTCTGTCCTTTGTCTCAATCCTTTCCATAACACTTAAATTAATTTGCACAGACGACAGTGTCACAGTATTCCCAGGCAGCAATGGCCTTTTTGAAAAAGCAATTAGCTTGTTGCTCCAGACTAGTTTGAAAGCATCTGGATCATACTTTTTTTTTTTCCTCCCTTCAGTAACCAGCCTCTTTTTCACTGAATTATACTTGGAAAGGAACTTTGAGAGGTCATTTAATGAAAGAGAAATATGGAATCTTGAGGTGGAAAGGCCCTTTAAAGTTAGGTGGTCTAACTTCTCACGAGCACAGGCACCTGCTCTACAGCATCATTGGTAGGTGGTCACTGTGCTGCTTGAAGAATTGTGCTAATAGAAAGTCACTGCCTCCTGAAACATCTCATTTTATTATTGGACACCTGAGGTTCCTTTTCCTCAATTGAGTCCAGCAATCAGCCATTAAGGGCCAATCCAGTTCATGAAGCATAGACAAGTAGAAAATTATGTATTTTAGTATTTAGTAGAGTTAATCTAAATTGGCTATTTTGGGGAGTGGGCATTTGAATGTCTCAGAATAAGGGATTTACTGGGCAATGAGATCCTGAGGAGACTTAGAGGGAAAACTTAGAGGGATTAGAAAGGACACCTGTTAGACCTCTGCAATTTTGTTTTTGTTTTTGTCTTTGCTAGGCAGTGGGGTTAAGTGACTTGCCCAGGGTCACACAGCTAGTAAATGTCAAGTGTCAAGTGGCTGGGTTTGAACTGGCCAAATAAATTCTTAACAAGCATTGTTTCACTTCTATTTATCTCCTGCAACTGCCACACCCATTTCTATCTGCTTCGAAGACATTGCTTGTTCTCCACCACCTAGGGCAGCCAACTCTTCCTTTCCCACCCTCCTGTACTCCTTTGGATTTCTTCATCACACCCCAGCATGCTCCATCATGCCCCTGTACATAGCTTCCCTTTCCCTCTTCTCTTATTTAAGCTTTCTCTTGTGTGTTGTCTCCCCCGTTAGACTGTAAACAATTGAAGCCCACCCTTTTTTATTTTTGTATTCATATCCTTGGGCTTAGCATAATGGTTCTGTAGCAGAATGTCTGACACCTCTCATCCAACCAACACAATGTATGGGTTGTGGCAATCCAGCTAGTGGCAATCCAAGACCTCCAAGAAGGGCAGACACCTACATTTTGAAGCAGCCCATTCCACTTTCCTCATGGATCCCAATGACTGCCCTCATCCCTAACATGAGTCAGTGATTTACTTGGGGCCGGCTCCCCTGGACCTATCGAAGATGGGCTAAGCCAGAGTAAGTTTCTGCCCTTGTTTAGAGATTTTCAAGCAGTTGAGACCATCATTCATGTAGGGGAAGAAACACAGGGGAGTGAGTAGTGGCCAGGGAAGGGTGTTTTGGTCTGAGAAGTCAAAGGGATGGAGAATGAAATAGGGCAATTGAACAACTGTTATTGATGATATGTCAGCTTCCTTCTAATGTCATGATTCCAGAAATCTGTGGATTCTTCCAATAAACCTTTGTATTGTACACATCTCTGACCTGAATTTTAAATTTAACTAATTACATTTTAAATTTTGAACTCTGTCTCTCCTTCCCCACCTCAGCACTACACAAGGCTACCATTTGATGCAGATTTATAAAGTAAAACCATACTACAGTGTACTTCTTTTTATCAGTTCTTTCTCTGGAGGTAGATAGCATCTGACTTCATTTATCCTTTATTGAAGGGTGGAATGCCTTTGTACTTGTCAACTGCCTAATCATCATCCTGACTATTTAATTGGGTTTGTTTTTGGAGAGCAGTAGGGATAGTTAGGCCTTAAAATCACTGTTAGGGTCTCTCCTCTTATAGTTGCAGGCTCCAGTTTAATTTGTCATACTGGCTTTTCAGCAACAAGCACTAATGATCAATAAAATTATCCATGGAAGGTTAGAAAAAGCTTTTTCACACTTAAAAAAATGTTTATTTAGCACCAACAGCCATTTGATAATGAAGGTCAATTAACAGACAATATTCTTTAGGACTGGAAAGGATTTAGGGAAATTTCCCTCTTTTGAGGGAGGGCAGAATAGATTTCAGAAATCCTTTCCAGTAGGTCGTTTTGTTTCTAGAAAATGATAACAATGAGATAATGATATAGTCCCTGTCAAATGGAAGAGAGTGCAGCTGAGGCTTATGGGCCACTCTGGGAGCTGAGGTCAGAGCCAGGAGTAGCACCCTGAGGAATTTCTGAAACCCACTCCAATGCTTTAGTCTCCTGACAACATAGTTTGATAGATGAGATTAGGAACTGGTTTCTGAGCAACATTTCAGCGTTTAGTAGGGTGTCCTTCAGACATAGGCATAGACAGCTGCATTTTCCAGGAGAATTATAAGTAGTGCAGAGGGTGAGCTTAATTGCAAAGGATGAAGAATGATGCAATGATGAACATTTTCATGGGAGCTGTTTGTTTTGGTGAAACCAGACATCTGTCGAGAGGAAATTCTAGCTGTTCTATTTTGTAATTTATAAAGACAGAGAATGCTCCTCTTCAAATCCTTAGGTTATCAAAAAGCTTCAGTTGTCCTGACATACTGTGGCTTGTGAGTGGTACAGTTGAGATTGAGATATGTTCTTCATTGGACATATGTAGAAAGGCTATATTAATCAGGGTGAACAAATCTCTTGGTGGCACCCAATTTGCCCTGAGTCCAATGGGACTGAGATTGATGGTAGTTTGAAAAAGGTCCACTGGAATCTAGTCAGTCTATATCTTTTGATTCATGGCAATTAATCAATTTTTTAAAAATCACATTTTCAGTCAAAGTAATTTTCTGCAAAAAACAGAGACCAACGTGGGTAGGGCTAAAGTTTTGTTGATTCGATACATTCCACTGGTGTTGCTTCATTTGAGTTTGGATTGGCGATAGCAGCTACTTTTTTGCATTTGGTGGAATAGATTATATAAATACTTCTCACTATGAAAATTCCAGCAATGACTGAAAAGTAGCTTCCATAAATCAGGAACTGGGAAAACAAATAGATTTAGTCACACATACATACATACATACATATCGCCAGTGCTTTACTCTGCTAAGCATAATGATGTTATTGGTTTGGTTAGAATGCGGACATTAATGAGAGCAAGGTCACATACAGGATCTCTTCAAGGTACAGTTAGAATGACATATTTAGTTAGTCAACAAGCATTTATTAAATGCTTACCATATGCTACTGTGTTAAGTATTAGGGATAAAAGAGGCAAAAGTGGGGTCCCTACCCTCAAGAAAATCACATTCTATTGTGGAGAAAGCATGTAAATATAAAGTACATAAGATACAGACAGCATAAATGGAAAGTAATTTCAGAGGAAAAGAATTTGTAAGAGAAACTGGAGAAAAACGCTTGGAGAAGTTGGGATTTGACCTGAGTCTTGAAGGAGGCTGGGGAGCCAAGATGTGGAATTGAAGAGGGAGGGTATTCCAGGTATGAGTGGCAGTCAGTGAAAAAGGCCCAGAGTTGGGACATGGAGTATTGTGAGAAATTCCAAATATAACTAGAGCATAGAGTATGTGGATGGTGAGTAAAGTATAAAAATTAAAAAAAAAAAAAGGTAGGAAAGAGATTGTTAAGGGCTTTAAATGCCAAATAGATCCTCATCTCCAAATCCTTTAGGATGTTTAACTTGATTTGTTGCTTTGAGAATGCATTGTCATCTATAAGACTGGGTGAAATAACTAAGTACTTGTATTGTGTATATTATATCTTCCTATAGACAGCTTCCCTTAGGAATTGTTTTCCCATTTCCATGCATTTTACTTTCATCTGGTTTAACAAAAATATCCATCATCGGATGACTAATCTAATAGACTGTGCAACTCAGGGATCATTTGGCTTCCTTACTTAAGACTGACTGGATGGGTCAGGCCAATTGGGACTAGGAATGTTACAGAGCACCATTCTACATTACCCTCAGAGGGCCATCCAAATGGAAGCAGCTGTTGCTCTCCTTATGTCAAAGAACCTCTTTGCCATAATTTTTCATCTATTTTTTTTCTCACCTCAGCTTTGTTTTTTATTCTTTCATATGAAATACTAACTTTATTTTTGGGAGGGAAGCTTAAAACAGGAGTACTCAGAGTGAAATCTGAGCTGGGGGTGGTGGTAGGGCTGATGGAACAATCCGAATATAGCAGAAGAATAAGATGCCTGCCAACTGCCAGTGGATTTCCCATTCAAGCAATAGGGATACAAAGACAAAGAAAAGGCAGTCCCTGCCTTCAAGGAGCTTACATTCAAATGGAAGAGACATACATAAATATTAAAGATACATACCAGATAGATGAAAAGTAACCTTAGAGGGAAAGGCACTAGCAAAAGGGGTAACCAGAAAAGACCTCCTATTAAAGGTAGCATTTGAATTGAGTCTTGAAGGAATCTAGGAATAATATGAGGCAGAAATGGGGAGAACGTTCCCGACACAGGATGGGGAAAGGAAGAATCCTGTGTAAGAACCAACAAGTAGGAACATAGTGCTGCTTCATGTAATGGTCAGAGTGGAATAAGCCTGGAAAGATATTTAGGGGGCTAGGTTGTACTTTAAATGCCAAATAGGAGTTAATATTTATTCTATAGGAAATGGAGACCAATTAGAAGAGTATTGCATTAGACAAGTGAAAGTTGCTGAAGTTCTGAACTGAGTGTGAGAGTAGAAAGTAGGGAAAAGACTAAGATACGTGGAAAAACAAACAAGATTAGGCAATATTCCTCAATATCCCTGATAGGTGCGTGAAAGTTAAGACTCAAGGATGATATCAGCTTTGCAAACTGGAGTGACTAGGACAACGGTGCACTCAGTAACAGGAAAGTTGGGAAGAGGGGACTTTGGGATGTGTTGAATGTGAAATGCCCATGGTGATACAGGCAATTGGTGAGTGAGAGTAGAACTCAAGAGACACTAAAGCTGGATATGCCTGGGCACCATCTGCCCAGATAGAGATGATAAATAAAATCAAGGGAAACTGATGAGGTTACTAAATGAGAGAAAATAGAGAAAAAAGAAAAGAGCCTAGGGCAAAGACTTAGGGGGCACCCAAAGTGAATGAGCGCGACATGGTTGAAAATTTTGAACATAGGGATGTGGCAATGATCTACAGAGTGGACCCTTACCACTCAGACATAAGAACATGAGATCATATTAAAGTTGGAAGTGACTTTAGAGCAGTTAGTCTAACTCCATTTTACGAATGGGGAAACAGGCTAAATTTAATGAAGTTCTAATTCACTTGTTTAACTACCAAAAAACTTATAGAAAATCCAAGAATAGGTATCATAAAGCTGAAAAAATCATTATGATGCTACCCAGTTAGAGGGGCTGAGCCAAGATGGCAGAGCAAAGGTAGCAATTAACCCGAACTCTCCCAATTTCTCCTCCAAACATCTTTAAAATAACACCTTAAATCAAATTCTGTAGAGACAGAACCAACAAAAGGTTGAGGTAAAACAATTTTTCAGCCCAAGATAACTTGGTCAGCAGGAAAGGTCTGTTTCACTGGGGTGGTGGTTTGGCCTGGAGCTCAGGACAGGTCATGCCAGCAGTAGGTCTTGCAGGCAACTGCATCATCATCATCAGCTGCTGCTTTGGGAACTCTCAGTTTACAGATGGTAAAGGAGTCAGATAACTGGTCAGAAGATTACAGGGGACCCTTTGCTAGTGCTGAGTGTAGGACCCTGCTTCATTGCTCATATAGTTTGGGGTTATAGTCCAGGGTGAAGAGGAACACTAGTGCACTAGCATGTGCAGGAAAACAGAGGCACTGGTCACAGTTCCAGGGCAGAGAAGAGTGCTTGGTGGCTCACAAAGGACCAGGCCCTGGTCTCAGGTCCAAGGCAGAAAGGAGCACTAACACTTGAATTATGTAATGAGGATGTAATGGGGATGGGGATGAGCTAGAAGCATTCCCAATAAGATCAGGAGTGAAACAAGGATGCCCATTATCACCACTATTATTCAATATTGTACTAGAAACGTTAGCTTTAGAAAAGAAAAAGAAATTGAAAGAATTAGAATAGGCAAAGAAGGAACAGAGCTATCAATCTTTGTAGATGATATGATGGTATACTTAAGAGAATCAATTTTAAAAAAACTACTTGAAATAATTAGCAACTTCAGCGAAGTTGCAGGATATAAAATAAACCCACATAAATCATCAGCATTTCAATATATTACCAACAAGGTCTATCAGCAAGAGATAGAAAGATAAATGCCATTTAAAAGAAGTACAGACAACATAAAATACCAGGGAGTCTACCTGCCAAGGCAAACCTAGGAACTACACAATTACAAAACATTATTCACACAAATAAAGTCAGATATGAACAATTGGAAAAGTATCAGCTGCTCGTGACATTAATTAATCATGACATGATATTAATGACAATTCTACCAAAGTAACTATTCAGTGACATATCAACCAACCAAAAATTTATTTTATAGAGCCAGAAAATAACAATTGATCTGGAAGAACAAAAGGTCAAGAATATCAAGGAAATTAATAAAAAAAAATTGAAGATGGCCTAGCAGTACCAGATAAACTATTACAAAGTGACAATCATCAAAACATCTATCTTACCCTACAGGAAAATAGAAGGGTAAGGAGATGTGGGGGTGGGGTAATAGAAGGGAGAACAGATTGGGTGAAGGAATTAGAATGCAGGCTGTCATGGGGTGGGGGGTGGAGAGGAAGGTTGGGAGAAAATATGGAACTCAAAATCTTGTGGAAGTAAATGTTGAAAACTAAAAATAAATTAAAAAAACAAAATTATCAAAACAGACTGGTACCGGTACTGACCAAGAAATAAAGTTGTGGATCAGTGGTATAGATTAGGTACACAATACACAGTAGTAAAGGACCACAGTAATCTAGAATTTGATAAATGCAACCATCTAAGCCCAAACTTTTGGAACAAGAACTCACTAACAAAAATTGCTGGAAAAACTGGAGAGCAGTTTGGCAGAAACTAGGTGTAGACCAACATCTCACACTGAATATCAAGATAAGGTCAAAATGGGCATATGATTTAGACATAAAGGGTGATATGTCATAAGCAAATTAGGGAAGTGTACAATATTTTACTTATCAGACCTATAGGTAAGGGAAGTATCTATGACCAAAGAAATAGCGTTATGGGATTTTAAAAAAATGGACAATTTTGATTACATTAAATTAAAGAGGTTTTGCACAAACAAAACAAACATAACCCATAGTAGAAGGAATGTGGGAAACTGGAAAAAAATAATCTACGGCTAGTTTCTCTGATAAAGGCCTTATTTCTCAAATATGTAAAGAACTGAGTCAAATTTATAAGAATACAAGTCATTCCCCAATTGATAAATGGTGAAAGGATGTGAACAAGCAGTTTTCAGAAGAAGAAATCAAAGCTATCTATAGTTATAAGAAAAAATGTTCTAAATCACTATTGATTAGAGAAACATAAATTAAAACAACTTTGAGGTACCACTCAATCTGCAAAGGGCTTTAATATTTTAATTCATTCAACTCTTCCCATGGCTAGTAAATGTCTAAGGCAGAAGAATTGAAAATTGAGGAAATGCCCATAAGAAATAATGAGCAGAAGGACTTCAGAAAAACCTGGAAATGATGCTAAATGAAGTGAGCAGAACCAGGAGAACATTGTACGCAGTAACAGCAACATTGTGCTATGACTAACTTTGGTAGATTTAACTCTTCTCAGCTATACAATGATCTAAGACAATTCCAAAAGATTCATGATGGAAAATATTATCCACATCCACATAGAAAGAACTATGGAGTCTGAATGCAGATCAAAACATCTTTTTTCTTTTATTTCTTCTTTCTCATGGTTTCTCGCATTGGTTCTAATTCTTCTTTACAACATGACTAATGTGAAAATGTGTTTAATATGAATGCCTGTCAGATTGCATGCCATCTTGGGGTGGGGGGAGGGAAAGGAGGAGTAGAAAATTTAGAACTCAAAATCTTATAAAAGTGAAGGTTGAAAACAAAAACAAATAAGTTAAAAGTGTCTAAGGCAGCATTCCATTCCCAACTCCAAATCTAGCACTCTCATCTGCCACCTACCTGCCTAGTTATAGCTCTGCCATCCCTGTCTCCAAGAGAATTTGCTTAATGAAACTTACCTGAATGTCGATGGTCAGACTCAGACCTCTGGCGTCAGCTACAATTAATGTCATTATGGTCTGAATCACCAAGGCCAAGAAGGTATTGACTCCAAAAACTAAAGCATAGCGTTCCATGCTGAGGTTCACTGCAATCTGAAATCTAACATGATATAAACGGTCAATAATATCACCAATATCAAAATACCAACATTAATATACTAATATCACCAAAAAAGAGTTGTTGGTCTTATGCTCAGGGCTTTTAGGGTAGATGAATAATTGTCCTAAGATTTCTACCCTCCTTTTAGTCATCTGCTACCAGAAACAATGAATGGTGAGGCGGAGAAAAAAAACTAAAGGTGGGAAGAACAAAGGAAAAATTAGATTAACTATTAAAGCCCTGCTCCTTATCTTTGGTGCAGCATGGTGGCACATGCCTGTATTACCAGCTCCTTGGGAAACTGAGGCTGGTAGATCTCCTGATCTTGGAAGTTCTGAGCAACAGTAGTGCTAAAGTTGTTCAGTCTAAATCTGGGATCAATAGAATAAGCCCCTGGGAATAGGGGTTTTATTAAGTTGAATAAGGAGAGACAAACCAACCCAAGTCAGAAATAGGACATGTCAAAGTTCCTGTGCTGATCAGTAATAAGTTTGGACTGTGAGTAGCTTCTATTTCTAGCCTGGGCAGGAAAGGGAGAACCAGCCTCAAAAATAAAAGGAGCCCTATTATTCAAAACCAAGAAGTAGTAGTACAGGACATATTAGATACAATGTGGGGATTGATGTCTAGAAGACCTGGGTTCAAATCCCACCTGGGACACAAGTCATTTAATTTTGTTTACTAAGTCATAGACTATATACTATTCAGAGGGGTCCTCCTGAAATCACAAGATCATTCATGTATTCAAAATCTTTGAAAAACTTTTGGGGGTTGCAGGTCTGTTAATTTCCCATGTATTTTGGGTATCAGTCTTTTATTGATGATACTTAATGCAAGCATTTTTTTCCTATTCTAGTATTTAAATTCCACAGTCTTAGGAATCTTGGGTAGAAGAATGCTATCATTTCTCTTTGTTTCTTGCAAAAGTGCTCTACATAAAGTGGGCTATTAATATTTGAATGAATTACTTGAAATCTCAAATTAACAACAACAACAACAACAACAAAAAACCAAACTGTATATGAAGTATACAATTGAACCAGAGTAGGTCATCTCAATGGAAAATTACAAAATCCGGGACACAAAATGAGATCTGACAAGGGTCCTATTAAACAATACCTGTAAAGAAGCTACGAAATATTATGGGTAACTTCCATGTTGGAACCTCCCTTCATAACCAGGGTAGGAATTTAAGTGATTTACTCAATCACACAAGTGCCAGATGAGAATCGAACCCAAGTCTACTGGATTCCACACCTAGTACTCTGATTGAAACAAGATACCTCTATTACTTGTATTTTCTAGTTTGTTTTTTTTTAATACTCAACTAACAATTATTTTCTTCAAAGCTAGAGTGCCTTTTTAGAGGTTGGAGTTGAAATAAGAAAAAAGTTTCTCTTGGGATGCACATTGTCCCTTGCAAATCTTGATTTATTTTGTCAGGTTTTGATAAGATCTATAAAGGCAGTGGCTTATAAATACTTAGAAGATTGGTAGTCTGGCACTGGAGGTCCTGAAGTAATCAACTTTTTTTCTTTTTTCTTTTTAAGTATTGTAAGTATTCTTTTTAAGGGCCATCACACCAAAGGAAATTCTTAACCCCCCCTTTGAGGGATCATTAACTTGTCAACCTCCTATGTGGGAGGTTAGGAATACAATGGGACAGAGTGCCCTAACTCTGACCAGGACCATTGTATACTTGAATAATTTTCAATGTTCCAAGTTGCATAAATTCAATATAAGTTGAATTTATAAGCTAAAGTATTATGTGAACTTTTGTATAAGATTTAAGATTGGAATATCACTGATAAAAGTCTGATATCCAAGATAGGTGGGGAAGTCACTTGAATTTATAAGACCTAAATGTTGTTATTCAGTTGTGTCCAATTCTTTGTAACCCCATTTGGGGTTTTCTTGGCAGAGATACTGGAGTCATTTGCTATTTCCTTCTATGGCTCATTTTACAGATGAGGAACTGAAGCAAATAGTGTTAAGCGACTTGCCCAGGGTCACACAGTTAATAAGAGTCTGATGCCAGATATGAACTCAGGTCTTCCTGACTTCAGCTCAGGAGCTCTATCTATTGTGCCACCAACCTGCCTCAGGTGACCAACAGCCCTTCCCTAGTCAATAAGTAATCATCTTATAGTTGCTTGTCCTTCGTTCTTGAAGAGGACCATGACACTAGGGAGGTGATGCCGTGACATGCAAATGAATTGGATTTAAGTGAGGGAGGTGCAAAGTCACCAGCCTCACTTTCTCCTCCGGAGCCATCTGAGTCCTGTGGCAAGATTTAGATCGAGATGACTGGAGATGGCCCTGGATGCAGTGGGGGACCTCGGCCTTTTTAAGCTAAGGTCTTTAACAGGTAGGTCTCAGTTTGACTGAGGCAGTGCCCATTCAGTAATTGAGGCTTGAGAAATGAGGCAGAGAATGGCCTCTTTACCTAGCTTAAAAGAAAAAAATCTGGGAGGAAAAGACCCTCAAGGTTTCTGGTCAAAACAGAAACAATTGCTATTTACATTCTTGGCCTGGGACCTATTTGTTGGCCAATCAATGAGAGTCAGAGTGATTTGGGTTTAAGGCTTGGTCCTCAAGAACAAAAAAAGTTTCAGTGATCAAACTTTACATTCCCTTTGGGCAGAGCACCAATAAAGCACCAGTAAAGACCATATGAAAAAGTGTTCCTAATCAATATCACAAAAAAGAAATGTGAATTAGAAGCAACATTCAAGTTTTACTTCACACCTGACCAGTTGGCTGGCACATATATTATATCTTGTTGGTCAAGCAATGAATCAATTCAAATATTTTGGAAACTACATGGAAACTAGATGACCTCTGAGGATGTATCTGGCTCTAATTTGTGATCCTATAAGCTATGATTTTCCTTCTATGTAATGTTTGGGGAATGAGCTTGTACTTTAAATTGATGTTTTCCATAGACTTTCGACTGCCAGAAGTCCATGGCACCAAAAGCTTAAGTTAAGAAGCCCCTCATCTACTTGTATGCCTAGCACATGGTAAGCATTTAAGATATTTTCATTCATAACTTCATTCAAAGAACTGAGAAATGCACCAAAGGCAGGTATGAATGCATGCCCTTTCTTTGCTCAGCTGGGTTCTCCCAACTGGATTCGAGACTCAGGGGACTTGAACTTTCAGAGGTAAAGCCTATGAAAGATTTTATGGAAGTGAGAGTATAACTGTCTTCTCTGCAGAAGCTTAAATGGAGGGTTTCCTCCGCACAGCTTTGAAATAAACCTTGCAGAGCTGGAGAAAAAGACTAGGGCTAACGTTAGTCTTTTTCCCAGAGCGGACCATGGGAAAGTCCTTGGATTATAGATTGACCTGGAAGGTGTGTCCTAGTACAGCTTTATGCAAATTGAGTGGTAGAGCCGGGATGCCATTCTTAGCTGATTATTTTATCACTAATCAGAGTTACCAGATAGTAAGTTGTGAGCAATGAATGCCTCATCCCTTCAGGTGTTTTTTTCCTGGCATCATGGAGCATATTTTATCACTAATTAGAGTTACCAAATAGTAAGTTGTGAGCAATAAATGCCTCATCCCTTCAGATGTTTTTTCACCCTGGCATCATGGAGCACCATCTTCATATCTGGAGCTGTTTTAATAATTTCCTTATAGCACATTTTGGCTTTCTTTATGAATCAGGGTGGATCTTGGCTTCTTCTGTGCTTTCAAAAACATTTGTGGGATTTTGATCTCTGTACCTAGGTCTCTTAAAGGGCATCTTTACTTCACTTTCCTGGGAACATTTTAAAAACTGGTTTCACAGAGAGATAGGTATTCTAGGATTACCCAATAAGATATGAGGGCTGAAAGAAACCTTACCAGTGAGCACACAATGGAATCACATCCTCTTATGATAATTTACAAAACAAAACAAAATCAAACCAAACAAAACCTGATGGCACATCCTTGCCAAACTGATTATTCAACACAGTTGACCTTTTTCCAGTTTCATGTCCTCAGCAAAATTCAGAGAAAGTAGCAAGGTGAATTGTTGCATTGCTTCTGACAGTAAAACCAAGAAGCATTCAAGATAGACCTCAGTAGTTAAATTGGTGTTGCTATCCAAAGGATAGCATTTTTAAATGACAAATTAGACGAATTTAAGAGAAACACGTAATACTTACACTGCGATGGTTATGAGAAGCATATAAACTGATTTGAAAATCAAAAAGCCAACATAACACAGCCAGATGTTGTTGGTAAAATGCATGAGGAATAGTGAACCAGCATCTATGACTGAGAAGATTCCTAAAGCCAACTCTCCAAAAAGATCCCAGTTGATTTTCACATATCCCACGGCAAGGGCCGCCATAGCACCTGCAAGGGAGACAATAAAGACCAGCTTATTATTTATTACAATCTAGGAAGCGTCTATTTGAAAAAAAATCAGAAATCATGTTTAATAATTCATGGTTTGTAAAATCAATTCTAGAGCTGGAGAGACCAAAGACATTTGTAGAAGTCCTTATTTTCCAGATAAAGTAATGGAAACCTAGGGAGATTAAGTGAGTGGTTGGTCCAAGGTCACATAGGTAAAGAATAGGTAAAAGGGGAAGATTTAAACCCAGGTAATCTGATTCTGAATACAGCACAAAGCACTGTCAAATGCACAAGAATATTAACAATTATGAGGATTAGGAAAGGCTTCCTGGAGGAGGTGACAGCTAAACTATGCTTATAAGGACTAGAGAGGGATGCTATGAGATGAAGGTGAAGAGGGATTACATTCCAGATATGGAAAGTCTGTACAAATGCATGGTGTGAAATTAAGGAATGTAGAACCAGATTATGGTAAAGGAAAAGTCCCTTTGGGGTTTTGTTTCAATAAAAATCCACTTTGCTAAAAATTCCCATAGTTTTCCTGTCAATAATGAAAAGTTTTGTTCCAGGATATATTGAGGTTTGGAGGTAATATTATCTTGGAGTCCAGACCCGTCACTGCTCACATGAGGAAAATGAGGCCCAGAAACTGAAGCCCAGCTAGGAAGTAGCTAAGTCAGGACTAAAAACTCAGGTCCCCTAGTCTCCCAGTGACACGCTTGTCCTAGTTTTTACTACTGCATTCAGCCCCTTCTCTCTACCAGGCAGAGTTTCTCATGTTTTCTTTTCTCTGAGAAAATTAAGAGCCTTGATTTTTCTATACTTTCAGCAAAGACTCTACATGTCTACCAAACAGTGTGCTGATAAATGATTAACAGCCAGCTCTGGGGGCAAAAAAATGTAGCAGGACACGTTTTAAAAATTAATTTGCACTACTAACATGTTCTCCATTACTTTCTTATTTTATTTTTCAGGCAATTGGGGTTAAGTGACTTGCTCATGGTCACACAGCTAGTAAGTGTCAAGTGTTTGGTCTGAGGCCAGATTTGAACTCAGGTCCTCCTGACTTCAGGACCGGTGCTCTATCCTCTCTGCATTCCTTTCTTAAGTTTAGACATTGACAAAATAATAAATCAAGCCCTGATTTGTGGCATATGCTGATTTCTGAGGTGTAAAACATTCATGCTGAAAATTTAACAATCAGATCTCACAAGCTAGTTCTACCTGGATCCAATCATCCTTTCCTATACCCAAAAAACTCTAAAGCTTTTTTTTTTTCCCTCCAGATTCCTTACAGATGCAACATCTCTATAACTGCTCTCTCCCTCTCATTTTCAGTAACTAATCCTCTGACTACATGTACTAGGGTTATAAGTCATGCAGTTTTTTACTAGTCTTCTGCTTGGGCCCTTGTAGGTGTGGCCAAATTTTTATGAGATCTTAGACCTGCCAATTAGTCAAAAAGTATTTTTTAAGCACCTACTCTATGTTACAGCCAAGGTGCTGGGTGCTCAGGATACAGACAAAAGGGTAGTTCCTGCCCTCTAGGAGCTTACATTCTATTGGAAAAGACATGCGCATACGCGCGCCCACACACACACACACAGAGACAGATGCCCATAGGTATGTGTATGTATGCACATATAATTATGGTAATTGTAGTTAAGAGTTCTTTTCTATGCAAAGAGATGACAACATCTATGTTTAGAAATGAGGGACCTTTAAAGACAGGCTTTTATGACTTTGTGAAATTTTGATCCTATTTAAACACAGGCTAGGTAATAATGTCTGGAAAGGAAAATGGATGTAGCTTCTGTCCAGAAACAGTACAGAAAATCAAAAGGGAAGGAAATGGGCCCAAGTGAAGCAACCCAAAAGAATAGTCCTCAACTTCTAAGGCTCAAACCAGACTCTCTAAGATGAGAATGAGCTTGACAATGGATTTCCTGAAAATGTCAATAAAGGTATGGGTGTGGAACCATGTGACTTCCTAGAAAATATCTTCAAAGTCTCCTTTGATTTTTCAATTAGGAAAGTAAACATCTCTATTGTTTAGTTAAAGTGCCTCCCATGTGCCAGGCACTGTGCTAACCTTCTAGGGAACCAAAGAAAAGCAAAAATTAAAAAAATTAAAAACCCAATCCCTGCTCTGAGAAGTTCACAGAAATAATGAAGGAGCCAACATGCATACAACTATGTACAAATGATTTCACGGGTATAGGGAACTCCTGGATGAGGAAACTACCAATTTTCTTACTTATGTAGCTAGGTGGTCCAGGTAGAATGCTATCTGCCTCAATTTCTTGAATTGTAAATATGGGGATAATAGTACCTATCTCTCTCTGTCCCTTCCTTCCCTCTTTCCTTGGTTGACTCAGACAGTAGTAGCTTGAGGTACTTAGTGGACGTGGCACCAGAAAAAAAAAAGTACCTTGTACTTTTGTACCTTGTATAAAGGAGCCATTTCATTTGTCTTTATGTAGCTATTTATAGCTAACATTTACATGGTGCCTACTAGGTACCAGGCATTGTGTCAGCACTTTACAAATGTTATCTCATTTGATCCTCACAACAACCCTGAGAGGTAGATGCCATTATTGTCCCCATTTTGCAGTTCAGGAAACTGAGGCAGACACTGCCTCTATCCACTCTATCTACTCTATCCACTGGTCCACTTAGCTTCCTTTGTGTCCCCAATGATTGTGGCACTGCCTGTTAATTGACTGATTGAGAGTGCTGAAAAAGGAAGCTCCAGCTGTGTCTACCCACCTCCAAATGTTGCGACAGCTTCTACTGCTCCATTATACACCTGAGAGCTTTGAGATGGTGCCTTGTGATCCCACAGAAGCTGGACGTAGTTTAACACTTGGTTAAAGCCAGCCGTGGCAGAGGCCCACCAGATGGACCAGAATAAAAGCCGGTTGGAGGAGTAGCACTCCTTCAAGTCTTGGCACCACTGGAGAAACACTCTCAGCACCAGGCTGCTTTGTTGAGGGTCAGCTGATAGACTTTTTTGCTGTCTTTCTGACGTGGCAGATGATTCTGAAGTGTCGCACTCTTCTTGGCTGACTGGTGAGCCTTCCTTACCAGGCATCTCTAGCGCTACTGCATCTTTGTGTGCTGATCCTTGAGTTTCTGCTCCCACCTTTTTATGGAAGAACATGCTTTTCTGGGGCATTGGCAGAAAAAATGTGAAAATGAATGCCACGGAGAGAGAAACCATAGTTATAACATTGAGATAAAAATAAGAAACATGTGCCAGGGAGACTAAGAGCTGGGACAGCACCGAAGCGACAGTATATCCCACCAGCGTGACGCTTCTACAGTAACTTGTTACTTTCTGATAGTGTTCTGCACTGACCACACTGTAAATATAAGAGTAATAGGCCACCTCCGTGGCTGTGACCAACCCGTAGAAAAATTCCAAGATCTGCATAGCTAATAATCCTTGGGAAAATAAGAGCATCAACCAGGTAATCAAAAAGCTAACTCCTTGTAAGATGATCATAGGCTTATACCGGAGGTAATCAGTCAGCACAAACACAGGGAATAGCAGCGCCAGATAAGAGTAAGTCCAAACTGGAAAGATTTGATTGGAGACCTGTGGGGTCACAAAAAAATGCATAACATGACAGTGAGACAACTCAAAGCTTCTCAAGCACGTGAAAAACAGTGAATTAATAATAGCTAGCTAACGTTTTTTATCTATCCAGACATAGACATAGACATAGACAGATACATATACATAAATGTACATACATACACATCTTTGTATCTTTGCCAAGAAAACTCCAAATGGGGTCAAGAGCTGGATATGACTGAAATGACTGAACCAGCATTTTTATAGCTGTCAGCTATGTGCCAGGCACTGTGCTAAGCCCTTTACAAATATTGTCTCATTTGAAGTTAATGAAATCAATGAAGCCTAGAATGTATAGCTCGGCCCAGTATAAAATTTCTGATACGATTTGATCTTTTGAATTCCTCCCATCAGTAAGAAGAGGAACAGAAAACAGATTTTTTTAAGAGCCAGATTTGGAAAGTTGACAGACCTCCATGGTAACCATTTACATGGTATATTCTTATATATTATATATATATATATTACATATATATTATATATATATTATCAAAGGAGAACTCTTGGTCTGGGAAGCCTTTTTTCCTGGTTTGCTGTTCCCCCACATCTTCCATCTCTCTGCCTCCTCTGTAGCTCTGCACAGACAACTACCCATGCCTTCTTCTTCCTCACTTCTGCCTCCTTGATTGGCTAGGACTTCTATTAAGGCTTACCTTGTTTCAAATCAAGCCTTCCTTGACTTTTCTGGGTCTTTCTCCCCCATATCTCAAACATATGCTTATTAGCTCCTTCCCTCATATCCCCCATGTAAGCTCCTTGAAGATATAGACTGTATTGTTTTTGTTTTTACACCACTATGCCCTGTATACAGTAGGTATTTGATAAATGCTTGTTGGATTGTTGTCGAGTTATCTTGCTTATATGGGCAAATAGCAATCAGAATTTGTTTGGGAGCAGAGGAATCCACTAGGTAAAAGCTGCACCCAGACACCTGCCCTGTGGTGACACAGCCTTGGCTTATACTGTACTACTCTAAGAACAAGATGCTATTTCTAATAAAAATGTGGATTCCTATAGGAAACCTTGGCAGAAATTAATTTGCCCTAATCATCAGGGACTGCATAGCTATCTTATCTATCCAGACATACACACATGTACATATATATATATATATATATATATATATATATATATGTATATATATACACACACACACAATATATGCATGCACAAATAAACATATACCTGGATATGTGTACATATATGCATATATATGGAGAGATATGTATATGGAGATGGGTACATTGTACCCATCTTTTCTTTTTTTAAAATAAATTTTCATTGTTATCTTTTGCTTTTTATATTACTGACACATGGTGTTCTTAACCTAGGGTAAGTTTTAAAATGCAGCTATAGATAGATTGCTATATAGATAGGTATTTCTATATAATTGATATCCTTTGCAATTCTGTGTATTTTATTTTATACATTTACAAATATTATCCACAGATGGGGTCCATCAGCTAAAGGAATTCCTGAGATGAAAGACTGAGACGCCCTGGCTTACTTAGAAAATCAGCCGGGCATAGCAAATAGCTAGTTAGGGATCCAGAAGCACCTGGGTTGAAGTGCAGACAATTTATTGAGTCTGATTCTGGGCAAATACTTAACCTCTCAGTGCTCTAGGCAACACCTTAAGTCTCTCAGTTATAAAGAAAATTGAGCCATTATGAGAAGAGGGAGTTCTCACTTAGGAGTGAGAAAGTGAAATCAGGTCCAGTCCCTATCACTACCTCTCACCTAATTTCCCAAGGGTTTCCCTCTTCCCCCAGGAAGAATAAAAATGGCAAACAGTCCAGAAGTCACCTCTAGTTTTCCATACCCATAGTCCCTCATTTTGGCAAAGAGGCTGGGGTAGGGGCAGAAGGAATATACTTTTTTCATCTCTATCTTTAGGGCCATGCTTCATTCTATTATAATACCTTTAATTAGTTAAATTATTGAATTAATTAATAATTGCCTTCGCAGCATTCAGTTCTGAGTATTTTGTTCTTTCCACCAACATTGTAGTACTACTGTTCATATATTTCATGTCCTAGCTATGCTGAAACCTGTGGCGAATCTGTTTGCCTCTCTAGCCACTGGACCCAGATGGCTCTGGAGGAGAAAGTGAGGCTGGTGACTTTGTACAGCCCTGCCTCACTTAGTTCCAGTTCACTTGCATTTCACGGCATCACCACCCTGATGTCATGGTCCTCTTCCAAGAATCAGGACAAACAACAACCTCTGTGAGTAGAAAAGGAGCTGCCCACCAGGGACCAAACAGGAACTGGACAGTTGGGCAATATAGCTTTCTTTCTTTTTCTCTTTCTTTCCCTTCCCTCTGTCCACATATGGTATCACACCCTTAGGTGCTGGTGCTCTGACCAAAGGGAATGTAAATTTTCATCTTTCTTAAAGACCAGCCTTAACCCCAAATCACTCTGGCTCTCATTGATTGGCCAACATAGGTTCCAGGTTAAGCCCTAATTGGTCATTGTTTGGGCCCTGATTGGCTCACAGTGAATGTAAGCAGTAATTGTTTCTGTTTTGGCCAGAAACCCTGAGTGTTGTCCCCTCTCAGATGAATCTCTTTTTTTCACTAGGTAAAGAGGCCATTCTCTGCCTCATTTCTTATTACACCTTAATCACTGAATGCATATTGCCTCGGTCAAACTGAGACCTGTAAAAGACCTTAACTTGAAAAGGTTAAGGTCCCCCATGGCATCCTGGGCCATCTCTAGTTGTCCTGATCTCTATCTGGCCACTGGACCCAGATGGCTTCAAAAAGTAAGGGTGGTGACTTTGCACAGCCCTCCCTCACTTAAAAATCCCATTCACTAGCATTTCATGGCATCACCTCCCTGATATCATGGTCCTCTTTGAGGAAAAAGGGCAACAACAACTTAGTAGTCCCAAGAACCCCTTAAAAACCAATAAAACAAAGACAACCCTCTGAGCACCTGAAATATCTAATAACAAATAGTTCTTTCTAATTGGCTAATATACCAGAGGTGGCTAAGTGGTGCCATGGATAGAGCACTGGCCTCAGGAAGACCTCGATTCAAATGCCTCAGAAACCTAGCTGTATGATCCTGGGCAAATCACTTAGCCTCTGTTCACCTCAGTTTCCTCATATATAAAAGGGGGATAATAATAGTGCTTTTTGGAGTTGTGAGGATCAAATGAGATATTTGCAAAGCACCTAGCACAGTGCCTGGCACATAGTAGGCACTAGCTATTGTCATCATCATCATCATCATTTTAGAGCCTGCTGCAGCTAAAGCTGAAGTCCTAAGACTTCAGAGTTGGAATCCTGGCTCAGCTTTCATGACCTTGGATAAGTCACATCATCTCTCTGTGCTTTCCATTTCCTCACCTGTAACACAGGCGGAGGAGGGCTGGACTAGGTGACCTCTAAGGCATCTTCCAGTTCTAGACCCACCATCCTAAGATGGGCAGGGCAGATAACTGTGCATTTCTCTTTTGGAATTTGCCACAAACTCAAAATGAAGCAGGAATTCAGATGCCATCAGTGACTCGGGAGAGGCTGGAGGGGCCTGAGAAGACTCTAAGCTTCTCTTTCTTCCTTCTAAAAATGTTGCTGTTAAGGCCTAAGGAGAATGGAATGCCTCTCCTTATCTTTTTCTGTTTACAAAACAGTGGAAAGATGGCCACAGTGTTTCTACGTGGTAGAAAATGATTGTGTTCTCTTTCTTCTTTCTTGGGGCACATTCTTTCCAGTGTTTTGTTACCCAGGTTAAACAAGTATTCAGCTGGGAGGTGACTTTGTTTTTTGAGTGGAGAGTAATAGAATCAAGGGAAGCTAGCATATTGTCCTTCTAAACTTTTTGAAGGTTTGAGGAACAGTTCTAGAGGTGGGACAATACGGGGGTTCTTGTGAACAGCAGTTCTTTTTGGAAGGGGTTGAGGAGCTACGTCACTAAATTTCTCCTATAACAAATAACAGAATCCTCCAACCCGTTTGTTTAAGTTGAGTTAAAGGGTCATGATTCTTGCTTGCAACTTGAGAGCAGGTGAGAGTGCAATCCGTGTAGAACAGGCAGCTCTCGCACTCCCCCAATATCACAAACATGCTCTGGGATCTGAATAAACTTGTCATTTGACTTACCTCACTGAGGGTTAGATTTTTATCTGGTCCAGTTAAGTAAGGTACAATAAATGGTTCTGATGGTTTCATCATGGAAAAAAACCCATAGATACAGAGGATGGTGGTGGGGAAAATCCAGGACTGACGCATTGTTCTAAAGCAATCCATGGTTAGTTAGGCTGAAAAGAAGCAAAGATCATGAACAGAGACTGATGCTTGAAGATTCTCTCATAAGGATAAAGCCAAATTACTTTCCACAAAAGACTGGGGATTACTTCTTCAAGCTACATTCTTCCTTTTGTCTCAACAATGGAATCAACACCAGGCAAAAAGACAGGAATTGAAAAAAGCAGTTACCTTTCTTGACTCCTTGAGAAATCACTCTTCTTGACTCCTTGGAAACAAATGGTAACTTCACAACCTAGAGGGCAGTATTGTGTTTCTTGCTTCTTCAGCTAGAGTTGAGGCAGATTCCTGAGGAAGGAGGACTATCCAGCAGAGTTCCTTTTATTCACGTATACAGAGCATCATAAGACTCTAGAGATTCCAGGAAAGGAGGCACCACCCAGGTCATTTAGTCCAAGTTCCTCATTTGGCAAGTGAAGAAGCAGACGGGAGTTAAAGTGATGGGATCAAGGTCGCAAAGGGAGTAAATATAGGTCTTTTGCGAAATACTCAATGTGTCTTGTTCCTAGGGCAGAAAACTCATGCAGAAGAAAAGAGGTAAAAGTAATACAGACCCACAACTGGAGCCTTACCCCAGGACATCAAAATCCTGTCGGAGGTGGAGAGGTGTAGGCTTTCTCTCAGATTCCTCTGTTTTCTCTCAGGTCATCTCTTCTGTGCTAACTACCTCTTCCTCCTTTCCCCATCTTCATGTCTTGGTGAGCTAATTAAATTATCACTTGATTAATTCATTGTCCTCTCTCTTGAGTCCTTCCCCTCTTGGTCATATCACCAATCTTCCCCTGCCAAGTTTCAATCTTGGTTCATTCCCATCATCTACTGCCTTTGTTCCTACACATGAAAGTGGAGAAAATCATGAAACTGTGTTGACCTTACCGTCTCAGGGATGGGGGAGGGGAGAGGAGGGAGGGAGAGAGAGAATTTGGAATGCAAAACTTTAAATAAAAATGTTAAAAAATTTTTTTAAAAAAAGAAAAAACCTGAGTTTTTTGGTCTGTTTTTTTTTTTTTCTTCACAACATGACTATTATGGAAATGTTTTGCCTAACTACACATGTATAACCTATATTTAATTGCTTGCCTTCTCAATGGGAGTGGGGGTGGGGAGGAAGGGAGAGAATTTGGAATTTAGTTTTAAAAACGTTTGTTTAAAAACAATTGTTAAAAATTGTTTTTACATGTAACTGGGGAAAATAAAATACTGAATAAATAAATTTTTTAAAAAAGAAAAGACTACCAAAAAAAAAATAAGAAAAATTATGCTGACAAGCTCCACTATAAATGGATATGACAGTCTGAATTGGGCCCTCACAATGCAAAGCAATGCTTTTATACCTCCCTAATTAACTAACCATCTCACTTACCATAGTGTCTCTTCCAAACTTTTTCCTCCTTCCTTAAATCTTCTATGGTTCCTCTTCTTCCTATCCTCTCAGGTGAGAGCCTGGCCTTCCAATTTACCAAAAGTTGAGGCTATTCTCTCAGAGCTGCCTGTTGTCCCCTCCTCGGCATCTCATATCATCCAGGGACCTTATTTCGCTATCTCCTCCTTTATTGCTGTCTCACACAAAGGGGTGGCCCTTCTCATTGCCAACGCTAACCCTCTGCAGGAGGTAGGTTGCAACCTCTGTTTTTGCCACTCCTTTGTTTATCTTCAATCTCTCCTTGTCTGCTCAATGCTTCCCAACTGCCAACAAACTTGCCCTTGTCTGTTCCATCCTCAAAAAACTCTCACTCAATCCTTTTTTGCAAACTTTACAAAAAAATATATTTTTTTAAATTTTCTTTTTAAAAAATCTCTTTTTCTCTCCTGCTTTGTGGCTAAATGCCTTAAGAAGTTAGCCTACAATAGATACCCCTCCCTCCTACAATAGATGCCCCTCGTTTTCCCCTTGCTCTGTAGTCTGGCTTCTAACCTCATCATTTAATAGAAATTGCCCTCTCCAACGTTGCTATTTCCTAATTACCAAATTCAATGGCTTTTTTTCAGTCCTCATCCTTGAGCTCTCAGCAGTCTTTGACACTCTTGTTTGGCATTCAAGACAGACTCTGTGGGATCACCTTCTTTTCCTTCATGTTCTCTTCTCTCCAGGACTACACTATGCTTCTCTTTAGGTTTTTGTGACACTGCTATTTTCTGGTTCCCCTTCTTTTTTTTTTTTTTAAAGTGGCCATTATCTACCTCATTTCTTTTTAAGTCTTAATCACTGAATGGGCTTTGCCTCACTCAGACTGAGACCTACTAAGGATCTTAGTTTAAAAAGATCAAGGTCTCCCACTGCATCCAGTGCTCCTGATCTATATCTTGCCACTGGACCCAGATGGGCCAGATGGGCTCTGGAGGAGAAAGTGAGGCTGGTGACTTTGCATAGCCCTCCCTCACTTCAGTCCAATTCACTTGCATGTCATGGCATCACCTTCCCTGATGCCATGGTCCTCTTCAGAGAACTAAGGACAATCCACAACAGCAACAACAAGAATTTTCTGATTCTTTTTCCAGGTCATACCAGCTAAACCATCAGTTTCTGCATAGGACTCTGTCCTGGGCTCTCGTCTCTTTTCCCTCTATATTATTTGGCTTGGTGATCTTAGCTCCCCTAGATTCAGCTATCATCTCTCTGAAGATGATTCTTAAATTTGTCCAGTCTCTATCTTCTCTAGTGACCCCCAGTCTCCCTTCTCCAACTGCCTATCAGACATCTTGACCTGGATGCCCTATAGACATCTTAAAATGAACATTTCCAAAATCTAATTCATTATCTTTCTCCCCAAGCCCTCCCTTCTTCCCACCTTCCCTGTAACTGTCAAGGGCACCACCAACCTCCCAGTCACTAATGCTAATAATCATCCTAGACCCCTCTCACCCTCCCATCTCCAATTGTTGCCAAGGCGTATCATTTTACCTCTGTAATTTCTCTTGCACGCACCCCCTTCTTTCCTCAGATATTGTCAACATCCCAGTGCAGGCCCTAATCTCTTGGTTCCTGGTTGGTCTATCTGCTACAAGTCGTAAGCCACTCAGCCGTCAAAGTGATTTTCCTAAAGCACGGGTTGATGAGGCAGAAAGGAGTGCTGGAGGCAGATGGAACAGACTGGATGCAGGATGTAAGAAATGAGATAGAAAGCAGGATATGACCAGCCAGGAAGTGCTCAAGAAGACTATGCATTGATGCCCCCCACTTTACATTCACAGAGTACCCCAGACTACCTGACAATCCAGAACAGCTGCCCCTCCCCCTTCTTGTTCCCCTAGCTTATCTGCATGCATTCACAAAGACACCCAACTTCCCTGAATCTCAGTTTATCTGCAAAAATGAGGGAGGGTCTAATTGTTTTTTTAAGGTCTTTTTGAGATTTAGATTTATTCTCACCTTTCCCCTGCAGGTCCCATGGGGGTGAGAGAAAGATATTTCCTTCTACTGGCAAGATTGGCCTGGATTCTGGTTGTCCTCTTTGCTAGTTTATGTACTCCAACCTGCCACTAATAGAAAAAGAACCATTATGACTTTAAGTGGGAATGGGAAACTAGCTAATAGATGTGTAAGAGATAAGATTTAGGGTAATAAAAATAATATTTCACATTTCTACATTGCTCTTAGCCTAATAAAGTATTTCATTAAACAAAATTACTGAATAATTGCTAGAGAGATGTACACAATTTCAGGGATCTCTATAATACACCATAAGTTAACAAGGAACTAAGTCCCATAGTTTTCTCCCAATTGGTATGGTGAGTAAAATACTTCTTTGGGAGTAAACTAAGAGTTCATATGAAGTTAGTCGCTTCAAACAGGCAGGCAAATGCAAATGGAATATAAGTCAAATACAGCAAAGCCTTAATTCATCAGAATGCTGATTTAATATTTTTCTGTACTGATTTTTGAAGAGAAAGAGTACTCAACAACAACAAAAAATTCATATTAGGCATAAAGCAAAAGCAGCAACATTGAAAAGATGTCTCAAGTTCAGTAGATACCTAAATCTATTTTCTGCATCTGGTTACATCTCCTGGTCCATAGAGTGAGGATTGATAATTCAGAATGATTATTCTAAGGTGACTCAGCACCCATTAGTCATCTAGTTACTACAGTATTTGGTGATACTCAACATGCTTACTAAGGCAGAAAACATGCTTACTAAGGCAAGGAACATGCTTACTAAAGCAGGAGAAAGTGAAATAACCTTCATATGCTATAAAGAGATTTCCACTAGTATTTAAAACAGAAAGGATTTCTTAGTCCAAAGTCAGTCAGTCAGAACAAACAAGAAATTAACCAAATTATCCTGGCTTTATTCTGTGCTATAAGAGATATTTTGCTTTTTCCAGGCATATGGATAAATCTCAAAGACAACTATCCACTCAGGCCTCCTAGGGCAATGGCATCAGTGAAACACCGTCTTGGAACGTTTAATTTGTTTTCAGATCATGATGGGTGATTGTTACAGCAATCGGAGAACTAATCAAGATTCTAGGAGCCGGTGGTAGTTGGGCATAGGCGAACATTAGTTTGTTGGGGCATTTGTTATAACCCATCATCTGACTGACAAACTGAAGCTTCCGGCAATTAGGAATAGATTGGAATTGCTGGTCATGGAAAATCATAAAAAAAGTTGTGGTTTTTAATAATTTCTTGCTAAGTTTAAAACTCTCCAAACTAAGTCTACCTTGTTTTCCAAAGTTGTCTTTGGAGCAGACAAACCGGTGGATTATAAAAGAACAATGATAAGGGAAAACCCCTGTCTCTTCTTTGTAGAGAGCTGAGGGTTATAGGTATGGAATGTGATCATATATCCTGTCATGTGTCATTTTGTGAGATTCTTTTAGAGGTAGAGAGTGGGATGAGATGAGGCAAGGAAGGAAGGAAACAAGTGTTTGTTAAGAACTAGGTGGCAAGCACTGTGCTAAGCGCTTTGCACATATCTTTTATTTGGCCCTCACAATAAACTAGGAGGTACGTGCTATTATTACTCCCATTTCTACAGTTGAAGAAACTGAGGCAAACAGTGGTTCAGTGATTTGCCCTGTGCCCAGGGTCATACAGCTAGCAAATGTTTGCAGCTAGATTTGAACTCAAGTCTTCCTGACTCCAGAGAGGCAGCTAGGTGGTGCAGTGCTGGGCCTGGAGTCAAGAAGATTTCTTTTTATGAGTTCAAATCTAGCCTTGATGGGGTGCTGGAACCTGGAGCCCTAAAAGGAAAAGACCATGTCTTTGAAAGCAACCCAGGCCTTGAATTTTCCCATACATTTCAGCAGCTCAAATCACTGGAGCTCCCCCCCCCCCCAGGCACTGGCCCACCCTGGCTCACCTTGATCACCTAATTAGTTTTGACATTCCTTTCACAGTCTCATTTGTCCCACCCCAGACTACTTGCATATACCTCCTCTCCTAAATCCCAACCAGATCATCTAATTAGTCCTTTCACTGTTCTACCAGGCCACTTACCACTCCTTAATTCCATCCTGATCTTTTTACTGTCCTTTTTGTATATAGGCATCAGTCTCACCTCTATTAAGTTGCAGATTCACTAGGAACACTGCCTACACTCCTATTACCTTTACAATAAACTGCCACTGACTGGAAGATGGTTTTGAGTGCTTGAATTCATTCTAGGCAGATGCCCCCCTGTCCTCTGACATTTCAGGGTTCCCAGCAATTCCAAACCACATCAGCCTGAGACCCTAGGCAAGTCACTTAACCCTATTTGCCTCAGTTTCCTCACCTATAAAATGAACTAGAAAAGGAAATGGCAAACCACTTCAGTAGCTTCGCCAAGAAAACCCCAACTGAAATGATTGAATAACAAAGTGTCTTTGGAGAACCGAGAAGCTAGAAATAGTGCCTCCTTCTACTATCTGGACAGAATCCCAGGTAGAGAGCCAGCATCTTATTGCAGACATGAAGTGACCCAGAGTTAGGGTAATCTCAAAATTCTAGTTTTGAATCTATCTTATTTCAAATTGTGAGGCAGGCCTCCATTTTACCCTAGTCTGGTTTGAAAGAAAAACCACTCCTCCAGAATGGAAGGCAGAGACAAAGAAGTGGCTAACATAGAAGGTCCTACCCCAAGGGAAGAAGTAGTTGGTTCACGAAATGGTGGAACAGTAAGAGTGACTGACGTGTCTGGGTTACTCACCCTCTGAGTATTCTGTAACACCTCTGCTATGCTCATTTGTGGAATCTATGCACCCAACTTGGACCACTCACTTCTTTCTATGTAAAGAACAGTGTTTTTACTTAGCTAGTCAATGCCCTGCCCTTCTCTCCGCTTTGAAATGAATGACTGTCCTTATGAATCTTGAAGAATAAGTAACAGCCAGCAATGGATGTGAACTTGAAAAATGTAAACCTGTTTCCTAGGTCTTAGCTGAGAGTCAGGTGAGTGCAGTAAAGAACTTCCTCATTAGGAGAAATACCTTCCTTTCAGCCTTTTCCCTAAGCTTCAGTCACTTTGACAGTGTTTTACAATGAGCTCTAGGAGTCCTTTTTAGTTAACCAGTCAAGAGTACCAGTTAAAAGATAGTACCACTTCCCCAAGTACTTGCTTCCCAAGTAACTCCTGCCTGAACTACCCAAGGCTTTGAAAGGACTTCCTTTTAAGGCCAAAGCTCTATGGACAAAGAAAATCTAAAAAATTTCCCTTAATGATTAGTAAGGTCCCCACCTGCCCTCCTCGCCCCAACCTCTCCACAACTCCCTTTCTACCCTCTCCACAAACTCAGTGATTCTAATTCCCCATTTACCTCCCTCACTCAAAGTCCTACCCCTAAGATATCTACCCTTTCCACTGTGTTCTCTGGAATGCCTGCCTGCATAGACAACAAACTTGCCTTCATCTTAAATCTTTTCCTTTCCTATTCCATCTTCTGGCTTTCACTGAGACCTGGTTCCCTCCTGATGACGCAGCTTCCCTGGCTTCTCTTTCCACTGGCTTCGTTTTCACTCATTCCCTCCAACTCACTGGTTGAGATGAGGGAGTTAGACGTTCTCTTGCTCCCAGTTGCAACTTCCAGGTTCTCTCTGTCTACTGGATGCTTCCCACTGCTTACAAACATGCCCAGGTCTCCCCCATCTTCAAAAACCTCTCATTTATTGCTGTTCAGTCGTGTCTAACTTTAGCTGACCCCCATCTGGGGTTTTCTTGGCAAAGATACTGGAGAGGTTTGCCATTTCATTCTTCAGCTCATTTAATAGATAAGGAGACTGAGGCAAACAGGGTTAAGTGACTTGCCCAGGGTCACCCAGCTAGTAAGTGTTTGAGGCAGGATTTGAACTCAGGACTTCCTAACTCCAGGTGTGGCACTCTATTTACAATACCACCTAGGGGTCCCTAAGCATTTGCTGATCACTTACTACATGTTAAGTATAGTGCTAAATATTTTAGATTTTGTCTCATTTGAGATAATCAGCTACTGTTCATTCATTCAGATGATACAATTATCATTTCTTTGCTGTTATCCTCAGATCTACTTATCCTAACCTAATCCCTCTTCTGCCCTTCACTCTTGCATCTCCAACTACCTGTTGGACATCTGCAACTGGATGTCCTGTAGACATCTTAAACTCAATATGTCCAAAACTGAGCTCATTATTTTTTCCCCCAACTTCCCCCAATTATCACAGACCAGGGCTCATCCTCCCAGCCCTGAAGGCTCACAACTTAGGCATTATCCTAGAATCCTCAGCCTCTCTCATCCTCCCTACCCCATATGATGTTACCAAGACTGGTCAATTTTATCTTTGTCATATTTCTCACAAATTCTCTGTTCTTTCTCCGACATTGCCCCTACCTTGGTGCTAGCCCTAATTTATTCATACTTGGACTATGACAATAGTTTCCTGATTGGTCTGCCTTCCACAAGTCCCTCCCCAGTCTTTTACATCCTCCAGTCAGCGGTCAAAATGATTTTCCTAAAGCACAGGACTGACCACCCCACTTGATAAACTCCAGTGGTTCTCTATTACTTCTGGATCAAATATAAAATTCTGTTTGGCATTCAAAGCACTTTATAATTAGTTATTCCACTCACCCACCTATCCCCATCCCATGGCCTTTCCAGTCTTCTTACATATTATACCCCTCCTCCCCCCCCCCCTTTTAACCTGTGATTCAGCAATGATGGTCTCCTTGCTGTTTCTTAGACATGACACTCCATCTTTCAACTCTGACACTTTCACTGACTGTCTTCCATGCCTGAAATACTCTCCCTCTTCATCTCTCTACTCTCTGACTTCCCTGGCTTCCTTCAAGTCCCAGATGAAATCCCCTCTTCTACTGGGAGGCTTTTCTGATCCTTCTTAATTCTAGGGGCTTCCCTTTGCTTATTTCCCCCAGTTTATCCTTTCTATAGCTTATTTGTACACAGTTGTAGGCTGTCTTACCGACTGTGCTATAAGCAGAAAAAGGCTTGCCAAGAGGGAGAATTCTACCTTCCTTTGTATCCCCAGTGCTTAGTGTAGTTCCTGGCATATAGAAGGCCCT